TCATTCCATTYTMTTCCAGTCTGTAGGATTTGAGCTGAAACTAAGAAAACATTCCCCGAACATTTTGATTCACCAAAGTATTAAAAAGCGGATGTAACCAGCCTGGTGAAAAGCCTGTCAGGTTGTGTTTCCTCAGGCTTCACAAAAAAAAGCCTATTTTGTGGCTGATAAGTTTTAATTTATTCTCGTGAAAGTTTAGGAGAGCTTCGAGTCTGAYCACAGACAGATGACATGAAAGTAATGTTTAGAGAAAAAAAAAGAGAGGGTGTTTGACTTTAAGGCATGATGCTGTCCTCAGCTGACCGTCTGGGTTCAGATTGTGTCTGCACACTGTCTCTGTGGTTGTGTGTGTGTGAGTGTGTGTGTTTGTGTTTAAATGTCTGAAAGGGAAAGAGAGAGAGAAAAGTCCAAAGACTGAGGCGATGTTACCAAGGACAGCTTTTCAGACATTTATCTGTTTGCTCACGACTGGAGGTCGATGATGTGGATTTTTCTATTATGGATGCTTGAGGGTCGACGATTCGGCAGAAATATATCTATATATGTATGCATATATGTAATATATGTATAAGGTTTTATACATCACAAATTTAATACTATTTTACACAGATTTTTATTAGAGGTGTCGCAGTACCAGCTTTTCCTCAAACCAAGTACGAGTACTTCAGCTTGGATACTTGATGATACAGAGTATGAGTACTTACTGAGCTAAAACTTAAACATTACACAATGACTTTAAATGCTTTATTTTTATTTAGAAAAAGGTATCTCCTTTCTTAAAAGCCAACAGCCCCTCTGACTGAATCAAATCAAACATAAAACATGWTATATATAAACTGTTGCAAATTTTCTTTTCATGTTTTTTTTTTGACCTAACACACTTCTCACTTGAAATTCAACACATTGAATTTAGTATAAATACCAGGATAAGGGCACTTTGTATGAGTACTTGTAAAAAAGCTGGTATTGGGCCCAATACGATATTGGTATAAGTATTGGGACCCCACTAATTTCTACCTATAATTTTTTTTGAATTATTATTTTGCAAGTTACAAATTACTACCAAATTATTTTTCCACTTAAAAACAGCCCTATAAGGAAAAAAATAGATATACTGGAATATTTAGACCAAATATCATTACTGTGCACATTTTAACACATTTGTACAAAATGTCAGCTTGAACCAATTATAATAAAGACATAATAAATATGCCTAAAAGTTTTTTTTAATTTAAAAGCTAAAGTAAACACTTTGGTAAAGCTAAGGCTTGCTGCATAAAAGCTAATTTATGAAACGAACAAACAAAAAAAGGAGAAGTCAGTTTAAACAATATTAAAGCTTCAAATGTGTTAAATAAAAATGTAAACTTTTGCTATAAACTGGTGCAATTTTGCGTTTATTTTAACCGGGCCCTTCTTACATGACTTTACCTCCTCAAGTAAAACATGAACCRTCTTATTGAAAAGGGTGAAATAAAGATTTAAACTTGGAGATAAATTGTGTTTGCCTCTGAAGTTTAACATGATTCAGAACAAAATCAGAGTGTTATCTTACTGAATCTTACTGATTATTTAAGAACCCAGCAACCTTTTAACTCCCTGTTTTCTAWGAGTCTGTGAAAGTAAAGATAACTTAATATTTTTTCTTCTTCTTTAGTTCCATGTAAAAGAGCTGAAGTGATTTTAGGGACAAACTCCTCACTGCTCTACAGTCTGAGTGAGAAATCCTCCGCTCTGACTGTAGTTGTTATTATTGGTTAATTATTGTTTTTTTAAGGCAGGTGTTACTCACAGTGTGGTTTGATCGAGAAAAACAATTCTACAATTTAACTCAGCATCATAAATGTCAGTAATGTTGTTCAGTGTTGAGCCCTTTGTGTGTTTTGTTTTTAATTGATGCACTTGTAAGGCATTACATGAGCAGTAAAAAACTGAAGTCTTTTAACCCTGACACAGCAACTTGAAGTGCTCATTTATAATTCAGACATGCTGAAGGCAGGAAAGCGACTTCAAAGAAAAACTAAGCTGAAATGCGATGAGTGCTGAGGAAATAAAATCCTATTGTATGGGATGTTTTATCCGTTTATATGTTTTCTGCTTCTTTTCTGCGTGTGTTTGTGTACACATGATCAGATTGAAAGGAGAACAYGGCCTCCATCACTCTGATCCAGTGCACTTACTCTCATACATTGAATTATTCAGGATGTAAACACCATTACACTGAAACTGAACCTGGGCCAMAAATATGTCGCCCCAATTCCCATGACGGAAAACAGCTTTAGCATGAACCACTGAGTTAAGGTGCAGCACCGCAGTCAGATTTTATTGTTATATTTTAAAGCTTGGGGCACCATATAAAGTAAATTAAAGGAGACTTGAGACTTCTGCACTGGGCTGAGGCTGGTATTCTGGTCTTCCTGTGTTTGTCTCAGGTGGAAGAAGTTCTGGAACTACTGCTTATGTGGTGCTATTTTAGCCATGCATCACAAAGATCAGTTGAGTCACATGATGGGTGCTTCGACTTTTGAGTTTTGTAGCTTTCATACTATTTGAAATATTTTTAGATATATTTACTTCATATAAACGCACTGGGTTTTCTTCAACGCTTTTAAAACATTGGGCCTCATGCAAAAACATGTTCGTATTCTAATCCTAAATTTCTCTTACTTTTGTTCGTACGAAGGGTTCGTACGAACATGTCACGTCAGATTCAACAAACTCTTCTATCTTCAGGAAAAGTGCGTAAATGAGCTGTGTAAATTCTACC